ATCAAGCCAGTAGCTTTCAACAGTCGAATCATGTTATGATTAAAACCGTAATTATTATCTTACTAATAGTGAAATATGCAACATAAAACGCGTGCCTTTATCACCTAAACGAAACACTGCATACAAGCGAACTCTTTTAATATTTTCTATCTCTATGCTCTTTTGTTTCTGATCCTAGATCCGGTTGCCATATCACCGCATCTATCGTGAGCTACTTGCCGGTCCAACCAAACTGCGACCGTCAGTCTTGCTTCGGCGTTTGAAGATCTTTCGTCTGTGTGAAATTTCTCCTCACCACAATGGCCACTAGCAGGTTTGCCGATATCCAGCAGGCGCCTCCTATTGAGGTGTTCCATGTGATGAAGGCATTTGCTGACAGCACTCACGAGAAGAAGGTTAACCTGAGTGTTGGAGGTGAGGAAATGGAATCTTTATCGTCAGTGTTAAGCTTTTGTTCATCATTTACCTTCATTTACAGCTGTTTTCATCGTTTTCATGAGGTCTTGGTGATTTTGTGAGTAGGTGATACATTGTCATTATATTAAGATTCCAAAAAGAACCTTAATTTCTATTTTTAACAAGATGGCATTTAAAAAAAAATACGCAGGTACAGCACTTTAAATAAACGACAATTATCAAAGTTCAAAGCCATCGAATTTGAGTATCGATGGACACCTCCTTGGGATGTTTGGTGTGCATTTATAGTGGTTTTAGATGAGGTCAAAATGCATCAGCTATGATACAAGACTTTACAGTGGGGGCGGCAGGAGAACCCAAGGGAAATCTCCGGGATTGTAATATCCGGTATGGAATTTGTCATTGTTAGGAGGCTATACCCCTGAAAGCCCTCTTTATAGGGCCTGCCATCCCTTCAACCCTGTGCCAGGAATACAAAATTGGCACATCTGACGTGCAAAATAGAGCATATACTGGTGTGATTCACTGTGCGAGTGACAGCATGAATCAACTAAAGCTTTGGCTATGAAGTAGATCCAGAATTGTTGTGCACGGCATGGACATTTTCTCCTGTCATATTTGGTTTGTTTTTTGGCCATGGTTACTGGCACTGTTAAGATTGGTCAGTATGCATTCACAAAAGCAAAAAAAAAAAGGTATTAATGATGATTTTCCATTGAATCACAGAGCGAGACTCATTTCCATCGGAAAGCTGCACATTTTTGGGTAAAATTTTAATCGAACTGCAATTATCTGAAACCAAGTTCATTGAATTGAATGAACAAATGAACCTCACATGAAACAGGTGAAATATAACATCAGAAATCAAGAAATTAGGTTGTGACAAATACGGTTCTGAGACTAACACTTGTATTCAGACACTTTGGAAACCTTTTATGGAGAACTGGACCCAGAGTTCCAGCATCTCATGCCCATCAGCCAATCAACATCAAGCTGTCTTGCAGTGCAGCCAGTCATCATTGTGCTGCCTCGCATTGCAGCCAATCAGAGCTAATCAGGAATCTGTCGGCACCCTGGTGGTGGCGGATCTCTGCTGAGAGAGGTGTCCAGAGTGTGAATATCGGCACAAGTCTAGCCTTACCTTGCCTTGCAGTGGTAAGCCTGCTTGAACTTGGGTAATTCTTTACAGTATGGATGCACTCACCAACGACTAAGTTCCCCAACTCCATGTCACAAACTTTATTCAACAATCTAAATTGCTAGGATTGATCGACTGCCCAAGGGGAGGGCTGATAGGGGAGCTCGGCCCCCCAACACCCCCTGGCTGAGGTTTTTTTCACCTTGGTATGCACAGCAAGATGGTTCTGAAACTCATGAGCAATGAGTTGGCTTAGGCTATGAGTGGCACTTTCTGTAATCTTTTTCTTTTATTTGTGGCACTACTGTTAATGTCTGCAGATTATTTCTCATACCAACAACTATGTTTTGTTGTCTACAAGAATATTATTTTCAAATTGCCCTAGCTTAGTGTCTGTACTCTAAAGACTAACCTAAACTTGTCTGGGAGCAGATATGTCACAAAGTTGTGATCCGTCGTTGTCACATTTTTAAAAAGTTCAAGTACTTTTTATGTATTTCTCTGTTCAAATATGGGAAATATGGTGACTGGGCAGGGATTTAAGGAAGGTATTTAGATCAAATAGTGAGGCTTGTGGTTTCCCAGTAGTGCCTCAAGCTTGTTTACTTAGTCTCAGGTATGATAAATTCATAAACAGTTGCCAAAATTATTACAAATGGGTTGCCTGTGGCATAATGGGTACCATCCATAGCTGCAAATTATTTCTTTTACCAACAACTACAAGTTTTGTCATCTACAAGAATATTATTTACTTAGTCTCAGAATATCATATTCAATTTGTCCTAACTTAGTTTGTCCATACTGTAAAGATTAACCGCATAAAGTATTAATGTTGTAGGAGAGCTAGAGGAATATCAACTAGTGGCTAGCATTTTGACAGTAGTGTATCATCGGATGTAATGATCACTGCATCCTCTTGGCCTATGACATTCTAGCAAAGTCAAGCTAACCTCAGCCATTCTGAGGAGACAGAGCTTAGACAAGGGCATCAAGTGACAACATACTGTTAGGGAAGTCTGCAATACAAGCTCATATCCTGCCAGTTTATACTTGGTGACGGTCTGCTGGCTATTTGCCATAGCACTGAGTCACCAAAGCTGTGTCGATTGCTTGACCCCGAACTATTTAGTAAGATTGCTGCTTTTATGTAATATAAGCACTTTAATGCTACTTTATACTCAAAAATTGCTTGTGTTTACATGCATATATATACACATGGTATTCCTATGGGTCATTTTTCAGCTATATGCTTGCAATTTGATGGGTTATTCATGAAAAGGATAAGTAAACAAAAAATTATTATTATGTTTTGAATACCCCAGATTTTGCAGTAAAAATGTTGTGGTGCACTCATGTCTTGTATAGAAGCTCCTGACACCATGCTTAGTTGTTATGCACATGCTCCACCTAACCTCCATCCAGAGGGCTAAGCTATGAACCCACAATTTTTCTGACCATAAGAAGACAGGGGAGATGGCTTAGCCATTCTTTGCACTCAGATAACTGAACATTTCTCTTAGACACAAATTACATATTAATTAGGTCATTTCTATATATGATTTGTTCTGAGAAAACTGCATACATTTGTATTGAGAAATATGGAAATTATACTAGTGATTCCCTTTATTTTGTTGAGTATGTGTTATTACTTTAGGTAGTCAGGAGACTCTGATATGAGACTGTGACAGATACATATATCAGTGAGTTTCAGGATCTACTATATTAAAAAAAAATCCATATCTGCAGTCTTACTGAAAGCTGAAGCTTTTCTTGAATGCCAGAGAACAAGGGAAATATTCATTTTGTGATAAAACATGCACAGAGGGTTACAGAATAAAGGAAAAAATAATTGTTCTGTATTATAAGATAACATGAAATAGATAAATGAATTCTGAGTGTTATGATTAACAGAGCAATAATTTTCACAAGTCCACATTTACATACAACTAGCTGAAACATCATGGTTACAACTACCCAATGTAGAGGCCCCATGATAAATGTAGTGGTGATACGGAAATGGATATAGATAAGTTATGACAATGTCCAGTCACTCTTATAAATAGATCAGTATGATATTACTATTCATTTTTAATGATAATGGAGTTTGATTTGGTGTCATGATAGTAATGGTATACATAGTATAATTATCTATTGCCATAGTTTGGCAGGCAGTGGCAGTTGGTGTTGTTGGTTATTTATAGTAAGAGAGGTTCTTGAACTCCTTACTCCCTTTCTGTCTGCTAATGTTGCATTGTTGGGAAGTATGTAATATTCTGGCAAGTTATTATTTTGCATCTTCATCAAATTAATATCCTAGTTTTATTAGAAAAAAAGACCTGTTTAGTTGTATATTCATACTTTGGTGGAAAATATCTGACCATATACAGTATCTGTGATCTGGCAGTCATTATATATTCAGACTGGATCATAAGGAAGGGTATAGAGGGGTATAGACTCAGTAGAATGCCCAGAGAGTATAATGATATCAGTGAGTTAGAATGGCCAGAGAGTATAGAGATATAAGTTAGCTCTCTGTAGGCTTTTGCAAAAGTAAGCTCACACATTGTGAAAATAGCTCCTTTTTAACAGCTGATGCTTTTTTAATTGACAATATTGTTAATATTTATAAGAGTGAATTATATTTTATAGTGCTGGCATTAGTATTCTACAAATTTACTATTACACACGAAAGGCTTGTAATTAATATTAATGAGAAGGTTGAGAAGAGCATTCTGCTTGGAAAATTTACCTGAGGTTTAGACATGTAGTGCACTGGATGAAAGTGCTCAATATTAATACTAGTATTATTCCTCCAGCAAAGAGAACAATACAGTCAAAAGGGGAAGGGGGTGCTGGGCAGTTGTAGGAGGGGGGGAGTTAATAGTTGATATTATCCAGATAAGTTCATTGTCATGGCAACATTCTCTTGAACGAGAACATTGTGTGATAATAACTACGTCATAATGGCACTTAAATTTTCCTCTGAGTATTTTTTTTTGGCTATAGACACTGATTTTGTTGTTCCTTCATAATTCTCACTAGCAATTGTTTATATCCTTTTCTTTTTCTATCATCTAGATTTAATTTGATTGGTTGTAACATGACTGTGTATTTCCTAATAACTCATTGATGCTGGGAACAAGTAATGTTCCCAAAAGAACGTTGTCCTTGACTTTTGTGACAAGGGCAGTAATTTTCTTTTTGATCCTTTTTTGATTCACAACAACTTGTGAATAAATGTTCTGGGTTTGATAGACTTCTTGTTACAAAGGAAAACATTTAAGAAAATAGGGGTTTGTTAGGTTCACATCAAAGGGCTCTTAAAAAGAGTACTGAGATTGAATTTTGAAAGTAGAAAAAATATTCCTGAAGTCTTGAATTTGTACACACAAACAGAGGTAATGTTTGTGAGATGTTCATATCAATAGAAACCAAAGAGATTGACCAATGATCCTTTCAGCATACCGGACAGACGAGGCTAAGCCATGGGTTCTGCCTGTGGTGAGGAAGGTAGAGGCAGAACTCGCTGCCGACATGACTCTCAACCACGAGTACCTGCCAATTCTTGGTCTGGAGTCCTTTAGCACTGCTGCTGCCAAGATGCTTCTTGGAGCATCTCATCCAGCTATCGCAGAAGGCAGGGTAAGCTGGCCTTTATTAGTAAATATATTTTTGTTTCTATTATATTATTTATTTTATATGTACTTGTTATCTAGGGATTTGTTAGAATAAAAATTAAGTGTTATTTTTCATATTATACTGCTGTTTTTGCTTTTCAATTATTTGTAAACCTGTTCCTAAGGTCTTTTGACACTGACAGCAAAGGTTTCTGGCAAAGAGATTGGTAGATAATCTAGTACATAATGTGCAGTGTAGGGCTGTTCAAGAGTAGGGGGAGATAAGAGTAACCCAATGACTGTAGATTTCAAAAATACATGCTAAATCTACTGTAATTTTAGTTTGTTGAGTAGTTACAAATAGATACCTCCATCAGTACTTAGTCACCAAGAAGTCAGTTTTTAGTCTGTCTCACCTGTTTACCCTTTTCCATTATTTTTGGAAAGCCTCATTTTTATCATTTTATTATTTTTATTGTTTGTATTTTGAGAACATTATTATAAGGCCTACTAATTGCCTCTGTTATTGCTGAGCACTTGTAGAGCTATCTGTGTGCAATAGTGTTCACTAAAATATATAATAGAGGGTGAATAGATCTGTTGTCTGTGGGATAAGTTTCATTTTTGCTTACAATGTTCTCATTGTCCTTGAATACACACAATATGTGAACAAAGTATTTGATAGAATACAGATGGTGTAGAGTATGTTGAGTATATACCCAAAAGCCTGTCATTTGGTGCATTGATAAAGTTCTTTTGTTGTTGTTTTGGGAGTCAGCACTTATGATAACAGTTTTGAGAGGTTATAAGGAGCTTTAGTAAGTTATCTGATATACTAATGCATTTTGCTGTATATAGGAGGAAAACATTGATAAGCATGATGTCTTTATCTTTAAAATTTGAATTTTTGAATTAGCTCTGAAGACTAGAAGTTCACTGGGATCAGTGATTTATATATAATTGTAAATGGGATTGAAGGACTGTGGGTTTAGATTATAAGTTTCTGCTTTGATTGTACCTTCTTATTTTGGTATTATCATAAATGTTTACCAGATTTTTAATCTCTAGAGAATGAATTGCTGTCCTTATCAAAATTCTTAGAATTTTGCTTATCTTTTTTTTTCTTCATCCCTTATTTTACAGATGACCGCAGTGCAGGTGCTCTCAGGCACTGGAGGACTCCGCATTGCTGCTGAGTTCCTCCACAGAATACTCAAGTACAATACCTTCTATTTTTCAACACCAACTTGGGGTCAGTCTGCTATTTTTTGTTTGTTAATCTTTCTTCTCTGTTGTTTGTCTAATAATTGCCATTATTTTCTTGTCACTGATAAGAACTCTCTTCCTGAACCGACACAAAATGTATTTTATACATGATTTTATATATTTTGGAAATGGACAGTTTGTGAAATTATCCTCTTTATTTTTTCTATGACAGGCAACCACCGCTTGATCTTTACCCAAGCTGGCTTTACTGATGTCAGGCAGTACCGTTACTGGGATGGGAAAACCAAGGGCCTTGACTTTGATGGGATGATTGAGGACCTACAAAATGCCCCTGAGAACTCTGTAGTGATCCTCCATTCCTGTGCCCACAATCCCACTGGAGTGGATCCCACACAGGTGCAGAATTTAGAAATATCCACAAAGTTCTTGTCTATAGGTTTATTTATTATTATTATTATTATTATTATTATTATTATTATTATTGTTAGTAGTAGTAGTAGTAGTAGTAGCAGTATATATATATTTTTTTCTATACTGATCCCCTGTTAATTCCTCTCTTAACCTTTTTCCAGGATCAATGGAAGAAGATTGCTGATGTTGTGGAGGAGAGGAAGCTGTTCCCCTTATTTGACTCTGCTTACCAAGGCTTTGCTTCTGGAGACCTTGACAAAGATGCATGGGCTGTCCGTCTCTTTGCTGAGCGTGGATTTGAGATGATTGCAACTCAGTCCTTCTCTAAGAACTTTGGCCTATACAGTAAGTTTTGAGTAGCTTCTAACTCAATACTCTTGTAAGTTATTTAGATTGAGTTTACTTTTTATTTATCACTTTAGACCATTATAATTCTGATTTAGGTACTTGCTCATAGGATAATTAAGGCCCAAGGTCAGACAATATCTGTATTGAAGTCAGTTTGCACTCAGAACTTTCTGGGCGATGTTAGTTTCTATTCTTGTATTTTTGAGACATTTCCCGTTACAAATGTACATCAGGTTCCCCCAAATTACAGATGAACGTGTTGGCAACTTAATGATCGTCGTGAAGGATCCCTCTGTGATTGTCCCCATGAGATCCCAGATCACACTGCTTGTCCGAGGCTCCTACTCTAATCCCCCAAGTCATGGTGCAAGAATTGTTTCCAGAGTTCTCAATGATGAGGCCCTGTTTGGAGAATGGTAAGTGGCTCAGCGATATCACTGGTAAACAAAGACCACTAAAGCTTTGCCTGATTGTAGTTTCTTTCATTTATTTGATATTTCCATTTCCTCATTTTCAAATCTTTTATTTTCCTAATCTTTATTTTTACTAGGCTCACATGCATAGAAGGCATTGCAGATAAACATTTGCAAAGAAAATTATCAATATTTTATGAAATTCTCAGCAAAATGAGTGGATAAGAAATAGATTATGTGTATCCTAGTTTCATGATCTTTAGATTTCAAATCTTTCAGGAAAGAGTGTATCAAGATCATGAGTGGCCGAATTATTGAAATGCGAAAGGGGCTGCAGGAACGTTTGGAGAAATTGGGAACACCAGGAACCTGGAACCACATTACTGCTCAAATTGGCATGTTCTCATTCACAGGCCTTTCAGGTAAGAAACAGATTACTAAAGTATGGTTGGTTATTCGGTTATTGCAGATAAACCATAACAGAACATTGTGTATATGGTTGGTAAAGTTTTAATGTTTATACATGCAATGTCCATTATGATTTTAGTTTATTAATTATTTGCACAGATGGTTCCACAATTAAGAAGCTTTTATAAAAAGTTGTTTCAAATTTGTACTTTGCATATAGTACCAGTTTTGTAGTTTGTGTGTAAGACTTATTCCTCTGTTTTTTACTTCAACAGCTGAACAATCTAAGTACCTAGCAGAGAAGTACCACATTTATTTGTTGTCTAGCGGCAGAATTAACATGTGTGGCTTGACAACAGGCAACATTGATTATGTTGCAGAAGCAATAAATGATGCAGTTTGCAATATTAAGGCTTAATGTGAGCATGAGATATGAGAAAGTAAAAACCAATGCCTGTGAGAAATCAGGGAAGACCTTCATGCTTAACACGTGCAGTATTTGATATAGGGACGGCTAATCATTGCATAACATTTTGCAGTGAAAAGTAGGATTTCCTCAGTTGGTGGCATTGTAAAGAAATGAAGAGGTATAATAGCAATGTTTTGTCAAGGAGGGCTCAAAAGCCTGTAGCCTGTTTGTTTAGCTATGGACTGGATTCAAAAATTTTACCAAAGTATTGAAATTCAGACCAGAGGTTGGTATGAATATCAAACGCTTTGGATCCAGTTGCTCAGAAATATAAACTAACATAGTCGGTATTGATATTATATTGTTATATTTAACATTGTTAATTAGTTTTGTCTGTGATAGTGGAAACTGTTAAAATTGTTAATGTTGGTTTTGTTAAGTTCATATGAAACATAATTTACAGATATGACAATAGGCATTTGTTAAAACATCTTACCATGAGTTGTATATTAGTTTTACTTGAGATATTGTGCTACCATAAGTAGATGTATGGTATTGATTTTAACTTAATATATTGAATTGGGATTAGAGAAGCCTCTCACAGTAATCCTAGTAGTGTATAAATCTGTTAATGATATCATCTTGTGAACTTGTAGGAAGAGGCTAAAATGTAGTTTAAAAAAAACACTTTAAAAGAGTAAGTGTTATTACCTTTAACACCAGCTGAGTTAAGTAGTTTCATCATCAAATTTTTAGCAGCACTGTCACTTTCTCATATTGGTTATTTGTGCTACACCATAATCCTTGCAGAAACACCGATGTAGGGACCACCTTTTGCATTACTGACAAAAGTATTTATTAACCTGTAAGCATTTATTTATGGATGATGCATCTAGGTTTTGATGTGTTAATTTTTTTTTATATACCACTTACCTCACTGAAAGAGTCTGCACACCAAGTATTCTTGCACTGCAGTTCTGAAAAGACCAATGATTTTTTTATTGATTTTTATATGCAGTAACTTATTTTGTATAAAAAGACTCTTGGCAAGTACAGCACAAGAGGGTGATCCAGAGTTGTATATTATTTATTCTGGCATTAGTGTAAACAGAAGCATAATTTTCTGTTTAATTCCATGGGATGGAATGGACACCCATACAATATTTTGATATGACGACGATAGCCTCTCACAAGGCTTGTTTAAATATTTTTGGTCAAGTTTAAAAATTTGATAGATGATTGCTATTGTACTATAGAATTTATCATCAGATTTTACAATATCTAACATGTAAATTGTTATATAAACAGTTACATGAAATTATTGATATTGTAACAAAGAATTCACTTTAAATTTGTCAGATATTTAAACAAGACCTTGTATGACTTTATGATAACTTGTTTAAAAACAAGTAGATGGAATGGACTTGAAAATAGGGAATTTATTATTTATCATCATCTTTAATATAGAAAACTATAGTCATGAAGAAAGTTAATACAGTAATGACTTTAAATCATAATTCAGGAGGATTTCTGAAAATTGAAATAGTCTGATTAGTGACTTTAACTTTTGTAATTTTTTTTTTTTTGAAAATATATTTTGATATATCAAGAA